AACAACAATACTGGTGCTTGTGCATAAAACCACAGTTTACAGCTGTACAGACACAGGTCAGATGTGTGGAGATTTTAGGATTAACGGTTTTAGGACAGTCATATTGTTTAGGGTTGGGGAAGGTTGAATTTAAGGAAAAGGTTGTCTCAAAATTGAATTGAAATGAAGTGCAGCATTGGGGAGGGTACTTGTGAAATATCCAGATAACCACTGATTCATTTTAAAAATCTCGTGTTTTGGTGATAGACCAAACAAAAGGTTTCAGCACAAAAGAGGATTTTTTTTTTGGGGGGGAGAGTGGGAATTTGTGACCACCAGAAAAGCAGAATTTATGAAGAAAGCGATGAATTGAGAGCAGGACATTAAAGATAACCACACAGATCTAGTCACTTTGAGGGACCTAGCTGAATCTGTCTGTAGATCCTGCAGACCTCTCCCATTCCTACTGCAGATCCCTGTGACAGTCTCCACCTGCCAGGTGGTGATACTGCAAGACATAACAGGGCACTGTGTTGCAAGCTCTGCTATTACTTAGACTTCATTACTCCTCTAAAATATACTCAAATACATTTACAACTATGCTTAAAAGTATTAGCATAAATCATGAAAACTGAATGGCACACAAAAATAAATGAACCAAGTCTGTTTGGGGAGGCTGTATCTATCTTCAGTTATTTCTTATCCTGTTTGTTCATTTAATGCATTTTGCCAATTAGCAATTAATTTGCAATAGGTCTCCTAGTCATTAGTGTGAATTAGCAAGGTTTTGTTGGCAGAATGCCTCGAGCATTAAATAAAAACACTGTATCAGGCAAAACCTCAAGGGTACTCTGCAGTGAGACCCTCTACAGAAATCGCTCTGCTCAGGGCCCACCCTGGTCTCTCAGCCCCTGCCGTGGAGGAGTGGTGGGTGCTCTGTTCTGAGTCTATTTAAGCTGTACAGCCCAACTCCTGAGCAATGTCCTCCTCCTTCAGAGGAGACCAGAGCGGGTCAGTACCGCTATGCTCTGTGCCCCCCAGGCCAAGTGCGTGCCAGCAGAGGCTGTGTGTCTCAGGCTCCTCTCTGCATAGGTAGGCTCTGGTACTGTGGCTTTGTGGTGTTGATTCACACAATTTTCTGTAGCTCTTTATTTATTTTTCTCTTGGTACACACAGTTCATGTGTTTAATGCAGGTTGTTTATAGCAAGGACAAAGGATTACAGTCCTTAAATCAAAAGTGACGTTGGTGTAATTATAAGCACAGGCTGGTGTTGCAAAGAGGGCTATAGGGAGAGGCTGTCAAAGGAGAAGAGCATCCAAAATATAGTAACCTCAAAAATCCCAGCTAATCAGTTTTCTGACGGGAGCAATCTGTTTTCCAGGTATTATTATTATATGGGGACTTTAAAGATAATAAATAACAATAATAGGCGACTATGAGGAAGGAAAGAAAAGGGCAAATGCCATTCACCTCGGAAACTGTGGTTGCTCACTGGAGTTCTCTGAGGAACATAATTTTCCACAGCCCCTGCAGAGGACTCGATCCATGACAACATCAAGAACATCCCAGGAACTGTGGTGTAAGCAGCAAGATTGCCTGGAGTGGTGTTTTCTCTAATGCAGAGGTGTGGCCTACAGAAACCACATATCCCAGTGCACACATTGGGAGCCAGAGTGAGCTGTTCTCTGGGCCATTGGCTGGGACGTGTGGTCCCTGTGGATTGCCTCATTCTTTGGCAATGAGGGCAAGTGAGCACCACTTCGAGCACTCTGATGCTTCACTGGACATCTACTTAAAAGACCAAAACAAGGAAGGGCTTCCTGAAGTAAGCTTGGGCTTATCAGAGCTGTACAGGGCATGAAGGCTTCTCTCGTGCAACAAGGCAGCCCAGCTAACGGACCCTGGCTAACAGATTATCAGCAGCATTTGAGTAATAGACTGCTCATTTAGTTTTAATACATTTTGCATAGAGAGCAATCAGCCTTCATCAGTCTTAGAGATGAATTGGCTTAGCCAGCTAAATTCTAAAGATATTAGTCCGACAGCAGCCACATAAATCATAACATTTTCTTAATGATGGTAAAATTAAAATATACTCTTGCTTTGAGAAACCAATGAAGCCTTCCTGTTTGCAGGCCAGAGCCTCCTGCCTGAATTAAAAGGAAGCTTAATTGATGTGTTTTTAAACTAAACTCACAGCCCCACTCCTCTTGAGCATCTCTAGTGTTCCTTTCTTTGAAGTTAAATTAATTTGTCCTGCCTCTTCCTGCTCCATCCTCTAATCTTCAGGAGTGTCAGTGAAGACCTTGGCTCAGTATTCATTGACCAGACTCCTGTGGGACGTGAGCTGGACGTGCACAACATCACAGTTGAAGGCTTTGCCAGGTTAATTGTTAGTTCCTTGAGCAAGCAGAGCCCTCCCAGGAGAAAAGCTGGTGCTCTTTCTCTAACCAACAAACCAAGACCTGTCTGTCCACCTAGCCTAGCCGAGCATGAACTTTTCCTATTTCTTGTCCTTTGTTCCTGAAGCTGGCTTGGTGTCCCGCATGCTTTTGCCAGCTGGTGTTTTAACAGAAGGGAATCCTGCCTCTGTCTAGAAAGGCTGCGATGCTGGTGTTGGAGCAGGGGTGAAGACAGACTCTTAGGGCTGTGATAATCACACAGGTGTTGTGTGTCCAGAGCTCTTCCATGGGGAGATGCTGAGCTCTGTTAACTCTTTGTATCTGACAAGTTAAGGGTAGTACATTCTGACTAGGTCAGCCCATACAACCTTCAGCTGAGGCAGAGCTGGGTATGTCACCCATCTTAAATGTGATGATTCCTCATGGAGCAGAACAGTTCTTTGGGCCAAGGCCTCTTGCTTTCAGGAATGTCTTCCCAATGCTCCAGAGTAACCATTCAGTCTCCTGCTGAGCTGTTTGGAGTGACCTTTCCTTTGCTGGCATCCTGCTGCTAGGTGCAACACAGCATCCACCAAATAAACAGAACCATCTCCTGTACTGGGGCTCTGGGCTGCCTTATCTTAGGGTTCTATCCTGTCCTGCTGCTTTCCAGTGGAGCATGTGCAGGTTGTCTCTGCAGCAGAGCTCCCGGGAAAACCTATTTTAGTGAGGTTCTGCTCAAGTTAAGACTCTGGACCAAAGACTTGACTGAAATCCAAATACCTGATACCTTTGTCAGTCTTTCTTCTGTCAAAACAATCATTTTGTGGTCAACTGTAAAGATTTGGTTTCTGAGGTACAAAATTCATTGCTATGCAGAAACCCCAGCTCTAAGCCAAAGATCCTCAGGGTAAAAATATCACAGAGGCATCCTATAGTTCTTACCTGTGGTAACTGGCATATGAGGGTGGGTTTTTGTTTTTCCCCAGTGCTCCTTTTGGATCCTCTGGGTCAGACTGGTTTCTTAGAAATCCTCCCCTGACAGTCCTATTGGTCCTTTGCTGGAGTCTTACTTGTGGTGGTAGTGTCTGTCAAAAGGATTAGGTGCTTCTTAACACATAGCGTGAAAGCCCCAATCCCCTGGGGTGCTCTGTGGTGCCCAGAGTCCGTTTTCTTGGCTGAAGTGATGTGATGGAGAAGGCAAGATTCCCCAGTAGGTCCTACAGTGGTGTTGTGGAGCTGCTGATGGGACATACTGAGCCATAGTTGAGTTAAGGTTAGCGCTTTCACTGTTTGGATGTGTGTGTGCAGTGTTCCTGCCTTCAGAGGAATCAAGAAGTTCTAGATGGTGCCTCTTGTCATTTTTGTGTTGGGGCAGTGAGCACTGGAAGCAACGGGTCTAATCTGGGAGACTGATGTTGGGCTGTCTGTTTTGGGGAACTTCACCGTCTGACTTTTGGGAAGTAAGGTGACCATGGGACTCCCCAGTGAGCTCACCTGAGAGGCCAGTTTTAAGCTAGAATGAAGAATGGCTCTTCCTTCAGGTCATTCCCAGCCGTGTTACCGACTCGTGGTTGGTTTGGCTGAGGTTTGGGCCACTGATCAGTAAGTGAGTGGTGTGCAGGATGGCTGCAGGATGCTCTTGCCTCTTGGCTGTTCAGTGGCCTCCTGGGTAGCTTGGACTGGTGATAGGGATACCCAGGTCGAGGCATGAGCTCACCTTCCCTGGGGGGGAGATGGAGGGGCAGCCTCTGCCTGTGTGCAGGGGTGAGTTTGACAGTGTGGTGTTGAGAGTCATTTCTTTCCTGATGTATCTTCTAGCATATCTGAGTGCTTTCATTTTTTCTTGGATATTTCCACAGGGCTTGGAAACCTGTTCTCCCTGCCATATTGTGCCAGCTGCGTTTGTGCTGCTGGTAATCTAATAAATGCTTGGTCTGAGCAGCTAGCACTCCTGCTATAGCCCAAATGAATGCAGAGGAAGGACCCTGCTAAGTGTATGCATTCTTCCTCTCCTGGCCAGCTCCGATTCCCTTTCATAGCTCACATCTGATGCTTCTCTCTCACCTAGCCCCTTAGCTCCGATGTAAATGTGTGTGCACACTTCCGCCAGTCAAGTAACTGTGCTCTCTCTGTCTCTCCCCTTTGTTACAAAGCCTGCTCTGTAAATGAATCCCACAGGTCTGGGGCTCAGCAGGTAAAAGGAGAAGTGAGTCTGTTAGCGCATGAGTCTAATCAGGCCGGCTAAAGCGAATAAAGTAGGGCAGCATTGCACATTAGCCGCTGTGTAAATGAGCCCTTTGATGGGCTGGGCACCGCAGGAGAGGGTTTGAAGCCAAGAAGAACTTTTGTTGTTAATTCAGTGACACATGGAAACTGTAAAACAGCGTGTCTTGCACACACACGAGAGAGAAAATAAAAGCCCTCACGACCGGGCTTTTCAATACCTGCCCTCGGACCTAGTCTGAAAACTTTCAGCCCCTGTCTCCCTCTCTTACCACTTGATTTTCCTTTCTCTCCCTTTCTTTTTTTGTTCCCCCTGCACTATAAAAAGAAAAGCTCTCTTGCCTTTTGAACTAGACGGCTGTGAGTGAGGGCTATCTCTGAGCTGTGTGGCTCTGTTACCTTTGTGTTCCAGATGAAACTGCCAAGCTCGGTGGGACAGAAGAAGATTAAAGCCCTGGAGCAGATGCTGATGGAACTCGGAGTAGGTGAGTAAAGGGGGCACGCGAGAGAGAAAGAGACACACAGAGCTAGCCTTTGTTCTCGAGATGGGCTATTTTTTCCCCTAGTAATACAGGCAGTTTCTTGAATAACAGTATGTGAATGGTTTTTAAAATATTTTATGTGTTTAAAAAAAAAGAAAAAGAGAGAGGGTAAAAGCCAGAACAAGATGCACAGGGGTTTTTTTTCCTCCCAGTAGAAAAATCCTTTAAAAGAGCCTTTGTTTCTCTCTTGTTTGGACCTTTTTAACCATCAAGAGAAGGCAGCACAGTATTAGGAAGGCAAATCTCAGCCTTGCCAGGAGAGGTACTTCTAAATGTGTTAGTGACCACGGCACACACATTGTTCGGGGCTGCCCTGTCTTGCTTTTAAGCTTCGTTTCCTCTTAATTTACTGTTCACGGTGGCAAGTCCAAAATGCATCTGGGACTGTTCATCCCCCCTTTTATGGGTTGCATGCTGTGTGAAAATCTAGAGCATCTCTGCTGAAAGGCGAGTAAACACACATCCCTCACTCTTGAACTCGAGTGTCTTAGCAGCAGAAAGAAGGGTTCACTTAACATGTACAGTACCTGCTCATAGCTAGAGGGGAAGAAGTGCAGCCCGTGGCTAGTGGCTGCTCTCCATGCAGTGGGTACAGTCTGCAGGTATTACAGGTCCCAGCAGGTAATGCCTCTTGATTAGACACCTGATGATCCCTTCCCTCCCCCACCCCGGCTGGAAGGATTTTTAAAAGTAGAAAAAGAGGAAAAAAATAAAAAGAAAAGTAAAAGCCTTATTAGTGATTTATAAGAGATTACAGAGCCTGCTCCCAGCACTGACTTCTGTTAAGTCTTGTTAGTTTTTTGGGCCAACTGGTTTATGGCTCAATATGTTGTCTCAGAGACTGTGTGCAGTTTCGAAGGCCTCCTGCGGCTGGTGAAAGTGGCTCTGCCAGGATGGTTTCCCCTTTCTGCTGTAAAACTAAGGGAGTTACTGTTTGTGCTTGCTTGGGAAGCCTTGGGGGCAGGATGTTAGTGCTTCTTGGAGCTCACTTTCCACAAGGGTAAGAAGGGGTTCCTCACTCCCCACTCCTGCCTTTCAGAACACATATCTTGAGGCCTTCCTGGTGCTCCAGCCCTGCTGTGCCTTACGTAGAACCACACCTGGGCTTTGTGAAGGTGAACACAGTGCTAACAGGAAGGGGTCATGTGGGCAGCCCTGTGGACAGGGGCCACTGCTGTATATCAGAGCAAATGTGCAGAGCTTCATCCTTTTCTTCTCCAGAACTGGCAGCTCTTCCTGTCTGGCTCTGTGTGTATGCACGGTGGGGTGCAGCAGAGTGCAGAGTGTGGGGAGGTGATCTGTCAGCCCCCACTGCAAGCAGTGCAGGCCTGCATTAAACATGTCTGTAATACAGCAGCGGAGCAGTTCTCTGCCTTGGTCCTACACTGGGAGGAGCAACAAGAGAGGGAAGGGAGCTCA